GCAGAGCCCCCTGCCCGCCCCGGGGACCCCCAGCCCAGCCCCACGGCAGAGGATGCTGGCGAGAGGCTGAGCAGAGCCATGGCGGGATGTGTGTGTGCTGGGAGCAGACGCCCCCATTGAGGCAGGCATGGGGGGGTACCCCAAAACACCCCAGCTCCCCTGGGGTTTGTAAAGCAGAACATCCCCAGCCTCCCTGGAGCAAGCGGGCAGGGGGGAAAGGAGCTGCAGGGGAAGGACTTGGGTCCTCTGCACCCCCAACGCAGCTGCGATGGAAGGAGATGCTGTCCCGGCCAGGCAGAGCTGGAGGCTCCCCCCGAGCCCAGCCCAAGATGAGGAGGTGTCCGAGAGGGGATGGACGAGGTGAGGGACATTCCCTGGGGCCCAGACCTTCTGCTTGGCGAGGGGCCGGCACATCTGCTCCGAGGGTACCGCATCCCTGCGATGGTGCCCCTCACCCAGGCATCAGGCCCCACGCAGCACTACCCCGGTACTCACAACTCCATGAAAAGGATGATCTCCCGGGGGGTCTCGATGGCGTCATAGAGCTGGATGAGGTTGCGATGGTTCAGCTGGTTCATCACGTCGATCTCCAGCAGCACCATCTCCTGCAGAATGAGCCCCATGGCAGCGCACGGTGTCAGCCCTGGCTGAGGCACCGGCACAGGGACAGGCTGTGCCACAGCACCGGGGACACACTGGGCATGACACTGCCACCCACCACCTTGGCCGTGCCTCTTGCTGGTGGCACCGTGGCCAGGAGGACCCCCCCACCCCAGCATCAGTCAGACCTTGTCCTTGGCGCCCTGCTTCCGGATCACTTTGGCTGCCAGCTTGAGGCCCGTCTGCTTCTCCGTGCACGTGTGGACTTCACCAAACTTGCCCCTGGGGAAGGAGAGGCGGAGAGATGCCAATGCCATCAGCTGCCCAGGCTTCTGGGGACCCCCACGCTGCCTGAGGGTGCTCCCCCACGCTCCCCTCCGCACCCATCCTGCCCAAGGCACCAACCCATCATGGCCAGAAAAGTCCCATTGACCCAGGACCGTTGCCCAAGGCTGGATGCCAGCTCCAGGCAGTGCTGGGGGAAAGCTGGGCATCCTGCACCCTCCTGGGTCCCCTCCTTACCCTCCCAGGATCTCCTTGGAGCTGAGGTTGAACTGGGAGCTGACACTGGCAGAACGCAGGGTGACGATGCGGTGGGTGAAGGGTGCCGGTGGTGGAGGGACGTCATCTGCACAGAGAGGAGGGCTGGGGTGAGGAGGCGAGCTGCCCAGCTGGGGGACCCCACTGCTGGGCACCCTGGGGTGCCCCA